ATGCTTCAGTGTTCCTTCAGCGTTGAGGGCTCATACAGTATGTGGGACGGGGTGGAGGGAAGCCCATGGCTGTGGGGTGTGTTAGGCTGGATGTGCTCTCTCATCCTGGAGCTTGAAGGGAGCTCGTCACATACCACAGGACAGTGCAAATATTTCACAACACTGAGAGACGGCACATTAGCTTAAAAGATGGTGAGCCGCATGGGCTGATAGATGGACGATATGTCAATGGTTTCAGCTGAGATCGTGGAAAATGAAAAGCCAACACGTACTGTACATGAATAGAAGAGAAAGGAGGTTTTTGACAGTCTTCCGTGATCTCATGTGTCACCAGTCTACCGTGCAAAGCAGATGGAATGGAAAAATAGCAGAACTACTAAAAGACTGGCATAAAGGTTGACTTTTGTTTTTGTTGTGTTTACTTTTTTCCTCACTGTGTGCCATCATGTCATCTAAAATGGCTGGGTTAAATATAGACAGAAACAATCTATAAATAAAAGCTTTTTCAATTGCACGTGTGGCATATTCAAAGTGATAATGTCACATCCCTGGCTCGTTCCTGCTGCTCTACCACCAGTCTCCCTTACCATCTTGTTCACTCAGCTCCAATCATTGCTCTCCTTCACCAGTCACCTCTCATCATACCCGTGCACACCCCATCCATTGAATTCTAATTAGACTCACCTGCACCATCAATCACCTCCCCTATAAAGCCTCACAGATTCCATTCATTCAGTGGCTGGAGTTGAAGTCAGATGGTTAACCTTACTTTCTACCTGGCTCGCCTGCTTCCGTTAATGTTTCCCTTCTCCTATAGAAGTTTCTCCTGCAGCTGGATTTATACTTTTGCCTGGCAGAGCATCGCGCCACTCTGCTGACTGCGCGCACCTCACGAAACGGACGAGGCTTTGCCGCGTTCACCGTTGTTATTTTCTTTAAAACGACAGGGGGCGGTCAAAAGAAACTGACTGTAAAGTCAGACGGATTAACCGATAAGTAGGAACTTTCCGGAACTACGTCATATCATTCAAGATTTTTAGACTAATTATTTTTGTTGTTTTTCATAAATTATTTTAAAATGCATCACTTGCTTTTGTTCATATCTCAGACAGTTCTTCCAATTAAAGTTTGGTAAAATATTAGTGTTAAGAGTACAGGGGCTGCTCTACAAATATATTTTTATTATGGCAAGAATAAAAGCAAAACAGTACACTTACTAAAAAATACAATGTTTTTTTTAGATTTAGCCCGCTCCACAATTTACACATTACTGACTGGCTAGTTTCTGTCCTCTTCTTATGCTAAAAAGGCAATTCTGGTCCAACATTCCTGACCATGATCATCAATAAAGCCTAGAAAAACAGCATCAGTATATTGTAAACTGATAGGTTCAAATATTCCTTTCCGGTTATCAAAGAAATAATTTGTTCCCTAATTAAAGTTTTATAACTTTTTGTTTTAAAATCAAAATTGCAATATATACATCAGTGTAAAACCTATGAATGGTGGAAAAACTTATTTCTGTAATTCTGCGCACTGTCGGCCGAAATTATGACGCACATACCCAAAAGTGAATATCTGCAAACTCGCGATGACGTCACATTCGCCGCACACACTCAAGCGAACAAGCATCGAGTATAACCCAGGCTTCACCCTGTGGATGTACATGCTGTGATTAAGGGAAGTGACTTCATATTTGGATGGTTGCATAAAGATCCTTGTTTACATTGTGAAAAACGTATTATCTGCTCTCCATCAAGAATATCCCTTACCTGCTTCACCTGTTGAACAATCCACTGTGTGTTTAAATAAATTGTTGAAAATAGAACCATTCTTGTCTTCATTGTGTGACCATGACTGGATTCCAGCCCCGAAGATAAAAAAACGCAGCTATGGAGTCTAGCTCAGCGTTAACCGGAAGCACATTGGACCCATTCGTTGGAATGATACATTAAACACTGCCTTTTGCTCCCATGGATGCTGCTACCACTTCGATGGTCATCCATGGCTTGCCACATGAACAATTCAGGCACTCCAAATACCTGCAATGGCTTTCTGCTGCAATGTGCCCTCTACATAGAGGCTAATGCTAACCAGTTTTCCAATGAGATTTCCAAAGTTGCTTTCATAATCTTCCTCCTTACAGGACGAGCTCTACCGTGGGCGGATGCGCTCTGGAATGCAAGTAGTCCTGAGGTGGATTCCTATCAGTCTTTACTCACTTTAAAGTGGTGTTCGCTGTACCACTCACCCCACTATTTGAGCACGACGAACTGATAAACCTGAAACAAGGCAACTCTAGCATTCACAAGTTCACACTGCAGATCTGAACACTTGCCACTTGTAGCGGTTGAAATCAAGTGGCCCTCCTTGCTGCTTACCAAAAAAGGTTTAAAACCTCAGATTCGTAAACATATGGTAACTTATGTTGACCCTGTTTCTCCTCCTTCCACAGACCCGGAACTGTGTGTCACTGCATATGAAATGACTAAAAAGATATAACGATAAAAAGAAATATCCACTGTGCTGAGCGAGAGCGCTTCTTAAACTGAACAGCGCATCATTGACTTAAGCGTGCCCAGGCTCAAATGCGATGTGAGTGCAGGGAGACGGGAGAGGGGACAAGTGTGCTTCGGCCAGGTTCGGCCAGGTTCAAGGCAACTGTACATATGAACACCGTTATGAACTGTGTGCTAAATCTGAGTGGCCTTCTCTGTATGTAAGAAGGTACACCCACTGGATGACTCTGGTCTACAAGGCTCCTTTGGGACTGGTACCTTCATACCCAAGTTTCCTTCTCTTAAGTCAAAAAGCCAGTATTCATTACATTCCAGTGAATCTTACCATTTAACTGTTCCCCTGGTTCAAACAGAAATAGGAAAGTGAGCCTTTACTCATGCCGCCCCCTCATCCTGGAATACTCTTCATTCTGAACTAAAAATGCCTAAGCTCATCCCAATTACATCGTTTCGCTCTATCCTTTTTAACAAACAGTAACAGTCCATTTCTCAATGTACGTGTTTTTAACATATTGTAACGTGGTATAGCTAAACAACTAAACTGTATTTTTATATTATCTTAATTTTCTATTTATTATTAATATTAATATATGTAGTAAGGTTCGTTGTTGTTGAGGGAAGAAAAAGACAGGGTCGGCAATTCAGGTTTTATTAATTTTATATGCCACCACACATGTAGCAGTGTGTGTGCTCTCTCTTCTCTCGACTGCTCCTCTCGTTCCCTTTAAGAAGGGAGTCTCTCCGGCCAAATCACTAGAAAGACAGGTGTTATTTATCATTTCTGATTGACCTGCTGATTAGCCGCCGGGCTCCTAGCATGCTCTCCCCCCCTTATTGGGTGTTCGATCACACTTACCTCTCCACAATATACTTTTTTTCATAAGTCTGGTGTTGCGGACCTCTTGGCCAGGTCACAGGTCTTGATCTCAGTGGGTTTTTATCTGGTTAAATAAAGAAACACACACACATTTATATATATATATATATATATATATATATATATATATATATATATATATATATATATATATAGGAATTTTTTGGTCATAATTATTCCACACTCATTTAACTGTTTTTAGCTCATTCAATTGTATGATACCCTCTCAGAAATAAAGGTACAGGAGCTGTCACTGGGCCAGTACCTTTTCATAAGGTGCACATTTGTACCTTAACGGTCCATAATGGTACCTAAAAAATACAAAAGGTGCATTTGGGCACTGACATGCACCTTTAGAGTACCACTGTGGACTCTTTGGGTACAAAAAATTTATTCTTTAAAAAGGTACTGCCCTAGTGACAGCTCCTGTACTTTTATTTCTGAGAGTGTAGGGTAAAATAGTATTAAAGGCAAACTTATTTAAGACTTAAAAACAAAGAAAGAAAAAAAGGCATTTTAAATTAAACAGTTAAACAGTTGATTTTAATTTTTTAAAATCCATTTAGCTGATCTGCAGTTCTGTCAGAAGCACTTTTAGCTTAGGATAAATCATTCAGATGGACCATTAGCATCTCACTCAACAAATTAAAAAAAAATTTTCAATAAACTTTTAAATGTTCCCACTGAGCCAAATAAGGAGAAAGAACCAAATCTCCTCCTACAGCTATGCTGATGACACTATCTACTTAGCCTTACTGCCTAATGACTTCAGCCCCATTGACACCCTCTGCCAGTGCATTCATGAAATTAACAGTTGGGTGTTCCAAAACTTGACGTGCTGCCCTGTCAAGGAAAGGGGAGGAGTAGGGGTATAAGGGGGGGATCTTTAAGACGAAGATGGCTAAGGTAAGATACTCTGGTTATTTATAGTGATTTAGTAATCGTCTGATTGGTGCATCATGCGTTAGCTAATGCGGGACCAGCTGCTATCAATCATAAGCACGTGATCCTCTTGAAATTAGTTTATAAAAAAACTTTACTAAGTAAAAATGCTTGAAGTTCATGAAGCAATTTAATAAAATAATATACAATGCAGAACCGGGCAGCACAGCTGAGTGGTTAGCATTGTCGACTCACAGCAAGAAGGTTGTTGGTTCAAGTCCTGAGTGGGCCAGTTGTCATTTCTTCTTGGAGTTTGCATGTTCTTCCCATGTTCATGTGAGTTTCCTCCAACATGCTTTTCCCCATCAGTCCAAAGACATGCGCTAATGGTGAATTGGATGAACTAAATTGCCCGCAGTGTATGTGTGGATGCAATGGTGTATGGGTGTCTCCCAGTACTGAGTTGTGGCTGGAAGGGAATCAAACTGCATAAAACGTGGAATATGTCCTCTGAAATATTTGGCGATTCATTCCGCTGTGGCGACAGCTGATACAGTAAATAAGCCGAATAAAAAATGAATGACAATGCAGAACATGAACTTCCAAATAACAAAAGTCTCAGAATTACAGATAAAAATGTGCTGACGATATACATCAGACACGGTTTGTCTGAAATTGTATATATAAAAATAACGTTTCACCTTTCTCTGTTGCTCTTACAGATTGATTCAGATGATGTCATCACAAGAGATGAACAGATCTTTCTCCTCATTGGTGCGCGGTCGAGGTGTGAGAGAACCATCCGTGCACAGTCAGACGTGGTCAGAGGTATAACAGTGTATTTATATTTTATTTCAGCACTATTTATTGTATATTTTACCATAAATATGCTTTAAAATATGTATGAAATATTTGCATAAAGGGCCATTATACTATGCTATAATTGTTAGCAAGACACTTAAAGGTGCTGTAGGTGATCTGCCAAAATGCTAACTGTTAGCGTAATAGCTTTGAAAAAACAGTTCCATCCCTGCTATCCAAAGCCATGCCACCTGAAATCACGAATTTGCACTGTAAAGAAGACAGTAGACAACCCACTAGATCGTGTCATTCACCAGTTAGAAAACTTTATAGTACTTTATAACAATACAATTTCGAATGAAAAACTGTATCATATCTAGCAGTTTTCAGTTGTGTAGCAAGCAAAACTTGGAGTTTAACGTACATATCCTAAAAATTTGTTAAACTATATTATAGTTTATAGTATATTATTTGTACTAAAGCTTTTTTAATCATTCTTTAAAAGTTTTTTTCTGATATTAATGTATGTTAAAAGTGGAAGAATGTATGGTATATCTAGAGATTTCATGCATAATTACATTATATAATATAATATTAGTATTACATAATTGCATTAATGTGTATAATTACAGTAATAATCATTATAATCACAATTAATTAATTAGTTTAATTGCTTTAATAACCTGTATGTTTAAAGTAATAATTTTTAAAATCACATTAATCTGTATAATTACAATAAAAATGTTTATTTACAGTAATAACTTGTAAAATGACAGCAATAATCGGTATAATTGCAATAATAATAAGCAAAATGGCAGTAATTACCAGTTTTTTCCCCCAATTTTTTCACAGTGTAAATACAAATTATCAACAGTAATAAACTGTAATTTAATTAACTTTGACCATAAAATATGTATTTCAAAAGTTTTTTTGCATGTAATTTTGTGAAATAGTTATTTCTGTAATTTAATGTAATATCTCTGGAAGTCCAGTTGCCTAGTCTTTTAACCATTATTTTATAGATTTTGTTTTAACAGTGTGTCTAAAAAAATACTTCAGCCATGGTGTCATCCTTCCTCCAGCGTGCAAAAGTAACTCCAATATTGATTAACGTTTTGATCCATCATTCCTTTTTACGGCTTTCACTCTCTCGTGTGCAGATGAACGTGGCACATGTGCACGCGCAAACGGCGGATCTGCGTAAACGAGTGCACAGATGTACAAATCTACATTTGTTGACAAACAGTTTGGGCTACTTATAAGAGTTATGGGAATTATCGACTAGACAAATTTCAAATTTTTTAGTCTTATGCCTTATCCAGAATATTAAAATACATGTAAACTCATTTAGATCATTTATTTTAATCATCACTAAGGATGTGAAGAGACTTCCAACCAGCACAACAAAAATGTTCTGAAGACAAATCACCTACTGCACCTTTAACTCAAATAATAAAAATTTTAAACCATTACATTAATTTATATTTATGAATTTTTTATTTTATTCAAAACTTATCTTTTTAATTAGATGAACACTAGATTAACTTCCTTATGCCCTATTTTCCTATAGATGTCAATGGTCACCAGAATTATTGTTTTGTGATGTTGTGACAGAAATCGTTGCATTTGTGACAGAAAAAAGCATCAGAAAAATGTGAAATCTCAGGAAACCATTTTTTTTTAAAATTTTGAAACATCATTGGGAAAATCTGACTATGATTAATAGCAGTTTTACCACTCAGATCATTTTATAAAACTGTAATTCTAAATAGAATTAAATAAAAATAATTTAATCACCAATCAGATTTTCACCTATAGATAATAAATCAGGGCATAAAATCCCTTCTTTGACTCGCATGTACTGCTATCTTCCCTATATCAGTAATATTAAAGGTGTAATTTGGCATATTATAAAGCTGTGACAAAAAGGCAGCTGCTGAACCAATCAAAAGCTTGCTTCTTTCAAGCCCTACAGATCCAATTTCCTGAAGACAGCAGGATCTATGGTTATGACAAATTAGACTGCGGCCCTGTTTATATCAAGGTTTTACGATAAGGAATATTGATTCGAGCTCAGGTTGCTTTGTTATCCGTAGTGATGAGTCACTTTATCGAAATATACAGAAGGATCCGGAACTGCGAGAGGAATACAAATCACTGTTGTTGGGTTATGAGAAATATAATTCAAGATTGATATCTTTGACTTCTACAAATAAAGTAGACCCGCCACCTTCAGGTATATTGGAGATGGAGAATAATTTGTATATTATTTTTTTTTGTTGGTGATTAATCGCTGAAGCTATTGTCACAATATAAGTACACTGTAAATCTGGATAAGTTAACTCATTAATCAATAAATAATCAATAAATCTGTTAATCAACCCCAGTCCTGATCAAAACTAGTAAATTGTTTAGAAAATTTTAACTCTTTAATTGCTAAATTTATAAATGATGTCACTGATTTGATGAAAAAACACAATATGATGTATTTTCAATGTAAAAAGTAATTGTGGACTGAATTTATTTGAACCTTTTACCACAGGACATGTGAACGATTAGTAACAGCATTGTCTTTGATGCATTGTTAGATTTTCATTTTCTCTCTCTAATTCCCTAATTTACTGTTTTTGCCCCAATGACTTCCATTTTTCATGGTGCCAACTGATGATCAACAGTAAAAATTACAAATGTTACCTCTTCCCAACAGGGAAAACCACCAACAATCGAGACTGCATGCTTTTATGGTATGGCGTCAAATCGATGACAAAATTAATCGAGCACACCAGTGATGTTTACATGCGAGGAGAAGTGAACTGCGAGCAGATTACAGAACTGATCAACGTGCGCGAGCTGTAGTTTCCTCGCATGTAGGTCTGTAATCTGCTCGCGGTTCACTTCTCACGGCATTGATTTGCCGCCATTTGGTGTCATGGCTTTATTATCAAAAAAAGTGAATATAATGTAAGTCAATGGGGCAAAAACAGCCACCAACAGTAAATTAGAGAAACAGAAAATGAATTAAAAACAATGCATCAAAGAAAATGTGGTTTCACATGTCAGAGACTTTGATAAAAGGTAAATAAAACCCACAATTACTTTTATATTGAAAATGAGTCATTTTGTGTGTGTTTTTCACCAAATCAGTGACATCATTTACAAAGTTGGCAATTAAAGAGTTAAAATCCTGAAATTGTCTAAGCAATTTAGTAGTTTTTATCAGGATTTATGCAAAAAAATATGAAAAAAGTGTATTGTTGATTTTTTTTATTTTTTATTCAAAGCATTTCCTTAAAATATGTGTCAAAATAATGTGCCAAAAATCATTCCATTTGCTGAAACACAAAGAACGTTTAGGCCAAATTAAGATTCAAAATCACCACATAGTGGATGGAAGCATCCCCAACATTACATAAGGGTTAAATTCAGTTATCAAATCTTGTTATTAAAATGAATTAAGCCCAGAAAATATATAGCTACTTTTTTTTTTGGCTTGCTATTGCTTCCAGCATTAAATTATTCATTCATTAACTCATTCGGTTTGAGTTCTGCTTAACACACTGAAAAAAATGGCTTTTGCTGTTTGTTCAAACTACTTATTTAAAATGAGTTGGATTACCACAATTCTGAAGTTTTTTTGGGAAATTTTTTGTTCAGTCCACTTAATTTTTTAAAATTGATTAAGGTAACGTAATCTATTTTGTGTTGGGGCATGAAGAAATTGTGTGGAACATTTTTACAGTCAGTTACTATAAGAGTTACCATAACTCTTTTTCAATTAGTTAAAGTAGTAACTTATTAAGTAGTTTTTTTTAAGTATTAGCTGAACTAACTTATTTCATTTGGTGATTTTCACTGTTTTACACTGTATTATTACAATATTGGCCTAAGCTGCAAAAAAAAAAAAAAAAAAAAGGTTTATTGATATATGAATGAGTGAATAAATAAATGCATGTTTTAAACAAATGGAAATGCAAGATGATCAAGTGCAATAGGTAATACTTTACAGTATAGTCTATATAGTACAATATAGAATGAGTTAATTCGCTAAAGTCAACAGTGAGAAAAATTATAGATATGTTAAAGTTAATTTAAAAATACACCAGAATTTTATTAGTTGTGAACTCCATTTAACCACATACGCCTTTTCATTAGGCATTAAAATCAACATCTGCAATGATTGCATTTGTAGTTGTCATTACATTGACTTTAGTTAAATTAATGAACAAAAGGCCCATAAATACTCATAATTTTAAATGTAATAATATGTCTGAAAATAAATATTACACATTAAGTCTTGCTGCTGTGAACAACTGCAAAATAAAACAATCAGAATTTTCTTCAAAGGCATTTATAGTAAATGATTATTCACAGTATTTTTAAGTGTCAGTAATCAATAATGTACACGTTAATTTTCACAATATATTGAATTATTAAATATTGCCATACCTTTTTTGAGTTAAAGATATATTGTCTATTTTTGTGTTTGTCAGAGAATAACTGCGCTCCTGAGTGGGATGGGATCATTTGCTGGCCCACAGGAAAACCCAATCAGATGGTGGCAGTTCTGTGTCCTGAGTACATCTATGACTTCAACCACAGAGGTCTGCTGAACCCTCTAAAACTAAAACACAATAAATCTCTGCTCTGTCTAGTTTCAACAAATACCAATGCCGATACAAATACTAATTACTCTAGATACTAAGCAGTGAGAAGAGAATGTATACTGAAGGGTGATATGCTCTCACCAGCCACTTTATTAGGTACACCTTTCTAGTATGAGGTTGGACCCACTTTTGCTTTTAGAACTGCCTTAATTCTTCGTGGCATAGATTCAACAACATACTGGAAATATTGCTCTGAGATTTTGGTACATACTGACTTGATAGCATCTCCCAGTTGCTGCAGATTTGTCGGCTGCACATCCATTATGTGAATCTCCCTTTCCACTACATACCAAGGGTGCTCTATTGAATTGAGTTCTGGTGACTGTGGAGGCCATTTGAGTACAACAGAAGATAGCTACGCTGTGGTCATAAAGGGATGGACATGGTCAGCAACAATACTCAGGTAGGCTGTGGCATTGACACGATGCTCAATTTGTACTAAAGGACCCTAATTCTGACCCTACCCTCCGAATGTCGCAGCAGAAATCGAGACTCTTCAAACCAGGCAACGTTTTTCCAATCTTCTATTGTCCAATTTTGGTGAACCTGTCCAAATTGTAGCCTCAGTTTCCTGTTCTCAGCTGACAGGAGTGGCACCCGGTGTGGTCTTCTGCTGTTGTAGCCCATCCATCTCAAGGTTGGACGTGTTGTGCGTTCAGAGATGCTCTTCTGCATACCTCAGTTGTAGTGAGTGGTTATTTAAGTTACTGTTACCTTTCTATCAGTCAGGCTGGCCATTCTCCTTTGACCTCTGGCATTAACAAAGCGTTTCCACCCACACAACTGCCGCTCACTGGATATTTTCTTTTTTTTGGACTATTCTCTGTAAACCCTAGAGATGCTTGTGCGTGAAATTCCCAGTAGATCAGCAGTTTCTGAAATATTCAGACACGCCTGTCTGGCACCAACTACCATGCCACATTTAAAGTCACTTAAATCACCTTTCTTCCCCATTCTGATGCTTGTTTTGAACTGCAGCAGATCATCTTGACCATGTCTACATGCCTAAATGCATTAAGTTGCTGCCATGTGATTGGTTGATTAGAAATTTGCATTACTGAGCAGTTTTTTAGGTGTACCTAATAAAGTGGCTGGTAAGTGTATATCGATAATAAAAAGTATAGTTCAACTTCAATTAAAAGATAGTTCACCCAAACCTTGTTTTGTGTTTAGCAGAACAACCGTTTAAAACCACTTAAGTGAGAGTAAATGATACTTTCACACAAGTATTTTTAAACTGTTGTTTTGCTGAACACAAAACAAGGTATTCTGAAGAATGTTGGGAAAAAGCAGCCACTGGCATTCACAGTAGGAAGAAAAAAAATACTATAAAAGTCAATAGCTTTTTTTTTTTTAAACATTCTTCAAAATACCTTGTTTTATTTGATTAAATAGCCCCTTTCACACAGTGATACCAGTAAATATCCGGAAAATTTCCGGAACAACTTTACCGGTAAATTAAAAAAACTGCTGTTAACACAGGCGAGGACGTTACGGAAATTTTCCGGAAAAGAGCATTCACACATCCATTCCAAAATACCAGTAAATTCTGACATGATTCACCACAAATGAGCTTTAAATGGCTGCGCTTGTATTTGTAAACATTTGACTAAATTACAAACTCTGTGGATGATCAATATTTTGAACAACTTTCGCAGGATCACTTTCGCATGTCGGGATGTTCAATCTAGGTGTTCGAAAAGGTCTGTATGTGTGAAAGGGGCTAATATCAGGTTTCAGTAAGAAACACATCGTCATTTTGAAATATAAGTCTGCAGAGACTTCCAGTTCATGTGGACTTTAAATATTAAGTATTTCTGTTTATTTTAGGATACGCGTATCGACACTGTGATGCATCAGGTAACTGGGAGCAGGTGTCCATTATAAACCGGACGTGGGCAAACTACACGGAATGCACCACTTACCTGCACACCAACCACAGTGATCAGGAGGTACATCAATTTATAACTCATTAAGTGATATAATCTGTTGGAGCCAAACATGCTTACATATGAGCTCAGTGAAGTTTTAAGCATATGACTGCAACTGACTGACCACCATTTTGTCAATTATTAATTCATTTAAATCACAGGCGTCAAACTCAGTTCCTGGTGGGCTGCAGCTCTGCACAGTATAGTTCAAACCCTTATTAAACACACCTGATCAAACTAATTGAGTCATTTAGGCTTGCTTGATACCTACAAATGCATTAATAATTTAACAGCAAATTTCTTCTGCGTTTTTTTCCCTTTAGGGCTCACAAGAGTTGTATTTAAAGAATTAGTTAACCAAAACATGCAATGAATTAGGAGTCTGGACCTTCATGCCGTCCACTAGTCCAGTTTTCTCCTGTGTGAGTTGAGTGTGCCTTCGCCGCAGCATGTGTGCTTTAAAGGCTATATAGGGGCACACCTGACCTTACCTGATCTCTGGACTGCTGCTTTAATTTCATTATTTAGTTGCTTTTTCATGTGATAAAATATATAAATGTATGTTCTGGTTGAGATGACGGGAGTGTTAGGGCCCTATCATACACCCGGCGCAGTGTGGCGCAAAGCGTAACGCAATAGTCTTTTGGTAGTTTAAGCTTGGCACAAGAGTCGTTTTGAGGCGTTGCGCTACGCTGTTTAAATAGCAAATGCATTAGCGCTCATTTTTGCGCTCATAGGCGTTCTGGTCTAAAAAGGATGGCGTTCTGAGGCGGACCGCTGGCGCATTGCTATTTTGAGAAACTATAATAGATTTTTCATTAGACCAAACCTAACCCGGTCTAAACTCCAGCGCAGAGTTGCGCCTCGCTTACGCACTGCTTAATACGCACAAGAGAGCAATAGGCAAATATCTTTACATATGAAAAAATGTAAATATTAAGGATATATATAGGATATAATAGATATAGGATATAAATATAAAGGATTAAAACATTACAAAACATATTATTTTCTAGCCTACATAAATATGAAAAATCACTACTTTTATTTCTTCTTCATCTCGGGAGGCTTTTTCAGTTCATTCATAACAATTTGCTTTTGTATAATGTTATTATTATTAGCAGTATTATTTATTATATCCATATGTATATTTGTTTTATTAAAAACAAGCTTAGATTTGCCCACCTGTCCAGACCACAGGCACGTGCACACATAGGGCTCAACCTGTGCAGTGCACATGCCCTTTTTAGTCTTGGATAGAAAGTGCCCTTCCAAAATGATCAAAAGTGCCCCCGCGACACACTCTCCCTCTCGCTCTTCAGTATGCGTGCGCGACAACAACGCTCTTCAGTACGCGCGCGCGCAACGACAACAACAGCAACAACAACATCCCCCCAACAACATTTCTGTTAAAAAACTGTTAACTGTTAACTGTTTGCTTGTGAAATGCTCATTTTTTCCACTTAGACTTACTTTGCGTCCTGTAAATAGCGAATGCGCTCTTGGCACGACACAGCTGACTCTTAAAGGGAATGGGAGATGAGACTGTAATTGGTTTATTCTTAAAACACACCTATAACATATTAAGAAAATAAACTCAACCCTTTTAGACCATGCGCCGAAGCGCAAGGCAGATTTTCCGTCCTTAAATTAGCAAAAATGCGTTCTGACACGCCCTGAAAGCATTTGCGCCCTGCGTTTTGCGCTTTGCGCATGGACCGTCAAAATAGAGCCCTTAGAAATTAATGACAGATAGAATTTTTACTTTTGAGTGAACTTTTGTCACATATATTTTACAGCATAATTGACAGTGAGAGCATCACACCATATGACGGCGTCACACCATATGTCAGCGTCACACCATCTGACACAGTGTCACACCATATGACAAAGCGTCACACCATATAACAGCATCACACCATATGACCCCATCACACCATGACACAGTATCACAGGTAAGTAAGTTAAACCCAAGCAGGGTTAGAACTACACTGTGCAGGGCTGCAGCCTTACAGAGGTTTGACATCCCTGATGTAAATGAATTATTATTACTGGTCACATACTAAAGTAACGTTTCATTAAATAATGTTAGTTACATAATATACATATTTACTTATGCAAACAAATGAGGAATAATGAATTCATTACATATTTATTAATCTTTCTTAACAATAATGAAAATAAAGTTATAAAGTACATTGTTATTTCGTAAACTCACAGTGCTTTAATGTTAACTAGCACAGCTTTTAATAATGCATTAGTAAATGCATGATTTATAAATGCTGTACAAGTATTATTCATTCTTAGTTTATGTTGGCAAACAGAATAACTGCAGTGACATTAAAGGGATAGTTCACCCAAAAAAGAAACTGTGCTTATATTCACTCACCCTCACTCACCCTTTATGAGTTTCTTTCTTCTGTTGAACACAAAAGAAGATAATTTGAAAAAGGTTGTAAACCTGTTACCATTTATTGCAACACAGGTTTATTCTGAAAACGTAGCCCTGTATACATTTCTGGGGATCAGGAATTATGTAGCCAGAGCTACGAATGGCTGCTTTTAGTCTTTAAAACGAACGCTACGTGGCAGTATGACTCCATTCCTTCTCGCACTTAACCAGCTAATCACTTACCTCCATATGGATAGCTTTCCCACTGTTACCAGCTTTTCCAGTAGCTCAACATGTTAGTTGGCAGATTTGAGACGCAAAGAGGAGTTGAGCATGACCACAGGGTTCAAGTCTAGTGAATAATGGTACGACAAAAACAGAAGGCAAAAAATAAAATAAACAAGTAATTAACAGGACGAGAATGTGGTGAAATCTGAAAATATGGTAAAGTCAGGCGACGGCTTTTCTTTTTCTGGATTGCTTTTAAACTATCAGTTGGGTTAAGGGAAGTGGGCGAGGGCTGGTCAATTGGGGCTTTTGAAACACTATTGGTTGTGTTTAGGGAAGGAGGACGGTGGGTCAGTCGATCGTTCAGTCAGTCAGTCAGTCGACATGGCTTCTGGTGGATTTACACAAGAACAGCAGACGCAAATGCCACTTGCAAAAGAAATTTGAGGTATTAAAAAGCATACGCAGTGGCCTCTGGTGGATGTATGCGAGAAGAGCAGGCGCGAATGGCACTTGCAGGAGAAATTTGAGATTTTAAAAAGCATACACAGCGGCCTCTGGTGGATTTAAGTGAGAACAGCAGGCACAAAGGACACGCGAAAGAATTGTGAGATATCACAAAACGTAAACCGTGGTCTCTGGTGCATTTACGCGAGAAGAGCAGACGCGAATGGCACTCGTGAGAGAAATTTGAGATCTGAAAAAGCATACACAGCAACCTCTGGTGGATTTGCGAAAACAAAAACTGCAAAAAAGTATCTCCTGGGATGTATTTGGCGCTCTCCAGAAATGTTTATAGCAGTACATTTTCAGAATGAGCCTGGGTTGATTGACTTCCATAATATGAAAAACAAACACTATGGTTACACATCTTCAACATTTTTTAAAATATCATCTTTTGTGTTCAATGGAAGAAAAAGTCAAACAGCTTTGAGACAAGTGAATGATGGGTAAACGATGACAGAATTGACACTTTTGGGTGTCCACTATTAAAACCTTATTGTAAAGTGGGATCATTCTCATTAATATTAGAAAACAAATGGCTTTTGGAAAATATGAAGTCGTTTTATTTAGATTAAAGAATGTAAAGCAGCACATTTTTTTTTACCTTTGGAGATTTGGAGTTTGAAGACCTAAAATATGCTTGTGTGTTTAATTAGGAAGTGTTTGAGCGCCTTTACCTCATGTACACTATTGGATACTCCATATCACTGGCAGCGTTACTGGTGGCGGTCTCTATCCTTTGCTATTTCAAGTAAGTGCAAAACGAGCATTTCATCAAATATCATCTTTTTAAATGTACCCTAGAATATATCCTGAGCAGTTTACACGAAAACGACTTTAATTCATCAGGATACTATCTTTAAACAGTCGAACACGAACAGCCTGTAAGCTTGTAGCTGATTCTTGCTACTTAGTGTGTGGTGCCTTGATGTCTATGTGATCCATGTGACTGATGTTTACTGAGATATCAGGGCTGCGATCTGATCAGACAGTCAGCAGGTCTTTTGCTCTCTGAGGAAAGGAATAAGAAGGAATAATTGGAGCATATAATTAGATGGGCCAAATGTGCCCTTTACTGATCGGAACTGCGCCTAAACTACATTTTTTGTCAACAAACTGAACAGATTTAGTCATGTTGCTTCTGCAGTTTACGATGCTTAAACACTATCTTCTGTCTCAAAAATAAAGCTTTCACAATAATGCACTCTTGAATAATTAAAAATATTATTGGAAAAATTATGTACAGCACATGTGAGGTTATGATGAATTTCTTGGGGTTGTTTTACTTTCTAATAATTTAAAAGACCATTATTAGTCCAATATTTATTTTAGAAATCCAACTTTGATAAACTTCTACTGAGATAAAAAGTTCTTTGCGGTTTAAGGTTGAACCATTGAATGCAATAAATAACCTTACATTCTAAGGGCCCTATCATACACCCGGCGCAGTGGGGCGCAAGGCGTGGCGCAGTAGTCTTTTGGTAGTTTGAGCTTGGCGCAAGAGTCGTTTTGAGGCGTTGCGCTACGCTGTTTAAATAGCAAATGCATTAGCGCTCATTTTTGCGCCCATAGGCGTTCTGGTCTAAAAAGGAAGGCGTTCTGAGGCGCACTGCTATTTTAAGAATCTATAATAGATTTTTCATTAGACCAAAACTAACCCGCTCTAAACTCCAGCGCAGAGTGCGCCTCGTTTACGCACTGCTTAATACACACAAGAGAGCAATAGGCAAATATCTTTACATATGAAAAAATGTAAATATTAAGGATATATATAGGATATAATAAGAATAGACATAGAATATAAATTTAAAGGATTAAAATATTACAAAAAATATTATTTTCTAGCCTACATAAATATGAAAAATCACTGCTTTTATGTCTTCTTCATCTCGGGAGGCTTTTTCAGTTCATTCATAACAATTTGCTTTTGTATAATGTTATTATTATTAGCAGTATTATTTATTAAATCCATATTTATATTTGATTTATTAAAAACAAGCTTAGATTCGCCCACCTGTCAGGTTTTAGACTATATGGGGCACATCGTGTGTTTTAGAATATAACTCAGGTTTTTGAGCACACTTCGTTATTATTATTCATTTATTCGTTTGCTGGAAATTAGAACTGAATTTAGAAATAGTTTTGAAACGAATATTTGACAAACAAAAGTATTTATTTATAGACTAATTGATGTCTGTGCATAAAGGTTTCCCTATCCAAGAGCGAAAGTGAAGGTGATCCATTACCTCTCATTCTCACGCAGTAGGTGCTCTGTTTAATTGTTTTCTGTTAAAAAACTGTTAACTGTTTGCTTGTGAAATGCTCATTTTTTCCACTTAGACTTACTCTGCGTCCTTTAAATAGCGAATGCGCTCTTGGCGCGACGCAGCTGGCTCTTAAAGGAAATGGGAGATGATACTCTAATTGGTTTATTCTCAAAACACACCTATAACTCATTAAGAAAATAAACTCATCCCTTTTAGAACATGTGCTGCGGTGCAAGGCAGATTTCCCGTCCTTAAATTAGCAAAAACGCATCCTGACACGCCCTGAAAGCATTTGCGCCCTGCGCTTTGCGCTCTGCGCATGGACCGTCAAAATAGAGCCCTAAGAGTGTTTTTTGCATAAATGTAGTAAATTGTTATAAACTCAAAGAGTTTTTCAACAAATTAATAAAGGTGCAGTAGGTGATTTGCCATTATGCTATCCATCACATAATATCTTTGGAAATAGACCCTTCCCTGCCATCCGAAGCCACGCCTCCTGATAACACAAACGCACACCATAAAGATGACCGTAGACAACCCACTAGATCATGTCATTCAGCATTTAGAAAAATTTATAGTATTTTATAATGCTACAATTTTGAATGAAAAACTGTATTATATCTAGCACTAGTTTTCAGTTGTGTAGCAAGCAAAACTTGTCATAATGTGCAATATTTAATGCATGAAGGGATCATCATCTCACTCTCATGTGTTTTGTCCTAAAGCGACTACTCTGTATGCTTAGTGGTTGGCCGGTGGGGTGCAGGAATTTACCAAGCCATACTTACATGCTATTTCAGACTGAATATTCAAAGTAACATGGTAAACAATATAGGGAGGGCATCACAAGCTGTCATTGTTCAAAAATAAACTAATGTCATGTGAATATAATGTCAACTTCACCTCAGTAAAACAGGCTATAGGTGGAATAGCTCTGTTTACTGATGCTCTGTTGTTAAACTAAATAAAAATCTACATTACTGATGCTGTAAAAGGAATCTTATGAAATTAGAAATCAATTGGATGAACATTGTTTAGTCCTATGCCTTATTCATAATCAAAATACATATAAATACATTTAGATCATTTACTTTAATCATTACTATTGGAATGTGAAGATATTTTTAACTGCCCCTTTAACTGGCAAAATTATTTTACGACTTAAAAACTCAAACAGACAATCTTAAAATTACATAAAAGTTATGAAAAAGTATTTTCTTTGTGTAAATACATAATTATAAATAATTTCCACAAATACTTCACCTATACAAGTCAACCACATTTTTCTCTCTTCTGTATTTTCTTTCTCTAGACGTCTCCACTGCACTCGTAACTACATCCACATCCACCTCTTCACCTCGTTCATATGTCGAGCAATCAGTATTTTTGTGAAAGACGCCGTTCTTTACGCCGTCACGAATGATGGAGAACTAGAAGATGGGGCAGTGGAACAAAGACCCATGGTACATTCACAAAAAACCCATTAGCACACAAATACATAACTAACGCTTTCCAGAGAGATCAACATCAGCTTTATTGGCCTGTGTGTTTATCAGGTGGGCTGCAAGGCTGCTGTGACCCTCTTCCTGTATCTGTTGGCGACCAATCATTATTGGATCCTGGTGGAGGGTTTGTACTTGCATAGTCTGATCTTCATGGCCTTCCTGTCTGATAAGAACTGCCTGTGGGCTTTAACAATCATAGGCTGGGGTGAGCTGGCACTTTTTGTTTTGCAGATAGCTGTTGATAGTAATATTTGTGAGCATTCTAGTATGAAACAAGATTTGAAAGATAAGAAACTGTTTGGAAATACATTCACTTTCAATTTTTATAATTTTTTAAAATCCTTTCAGCCAATCTCCGGGTCTGGGAGGAGCACTTTTAGCTTAGCTTAGCTTAGCATAGATCATTAAATTGGATTTTGATCGTTTGAAATCATGACTCTGCAGTAACATCAGGGCTGGTGCTTCCATAGGGCGGCAGAATAGAGAGGGCGGCGTCCCCAAAACTACCCTCGCCACCCGCGCCTTCATCCGCGTCTAGGTTGGCAGAATAGAGAAAGCGGCGTCCCCGAAACTATCCTCGCCACCCGTGCCTCAGTTATATCTGCGTCTAGGGTGGCAGAATATAGAGAGCGGTGTCCCCGAAACTACCCTCGCCACCCGCACCTCAGTTATATCCGCGTCTAGGGTGGCAGAATAGAGAGGGCGGCGTCCCATAAACTACCCTCTCCACCCACGCCTCAGTTATAGCCGCGTCTAGGATGGCAGAATAGACCCCCCCCCCAGTTTCACTTTAGGTTTGAGGGCGGCGTGACCGACCTTTGCCTAGAGCGGCAGTTCAGCTTGCTCCGGCCCTGAGTAACATCATTTACTAATACTGACAGAAGATGAAAAGTAGCTATTTTCTTCAACATAGGCTAAATCTGAAAAGGTTGCCCTATATACATTTCTGGAGATCGCAAATTATGTAGCCAGAAGTACATTTGGCTGCAAATGAACTTTAAAATGCTTCAGGGCGGTATGATGCTATTCCTTTTCGTGCCTACCAGCTGACCACTTACCTCCATATGGACGGCTTTCCCGCTGTTACCAGTTTGTCCAGTAGCTCGCCATGTACGTCGGCAGACTTGAGGTGCAGAGAGGAGTTGACTACGATGACGGGGTTCGAGTCCAGAAAAGCGTGTAAGACAAAAACAGAAGCCAAAAAAATAAAATAAACCAGTAAATAACAAGGTGAGAATGTAGTAAAATCTGAAAACGTGGTAAAAATCAGGCGAGGGCTTTTATTTTTCTGGATTGCTTTTTAAAACTGTTGGTTGGGTTCAGGGAAGGAGGATGGCGGGTAAGTCGATCGGTCAGTCAGTCAGTCAGTCGACAGCGACGTGAAATGCACTCACATGGAGAAACTTGAGATCTGAAAAAGTGTACACAGCGGACTCTGGTGGATTTGCGGTAACAAAAACTGCAAAAAAGTACCTACTGGCACATATTTGGCACTCTCCATAAATGTATATAGTGGTACGTTTTCAGAATGAGCCTGGGTTGATTTTCTTAGTCAATAGGGCTTGGAACTATACTCTTGTTGCTGCGTAAAAACAAAGTCCCTCATACTTGAATATTTGAAATGAACCAGGCAGCTCATTCAAGACTAAAGCACTATTTAAATGAATGGGGGAATCCTGAAATCTCGAACACTGTTTGTTGAATATACCATTGAATTACATTTACCAAATCAGCAAAATCTGAAGTGATCTGTACCATTACTGTTGTCGCTGAAGCTCTAATTACATTTAAAGTGGACCTATTATGCAAAAATCACTTTTATAAGGGGATTAAACACAGTTGTGTGGCAACAGTTTTTATAATCACATTTGATAAAAACAGTCTGCAGAAACACTTTGATTGACATTCTGCCTTTTACCTGTCATCAGAGGGGAAAAACCCTGCATGTTAGTGACAATCTCTCCCTTATTGGCATAAACAGCCCTGAGTGAAAAGCAGCTGACTGCCATTAGAGTTTTAGCATCATACCTGATGAAGATAATTTTGAAAAGAGGGCTGGAAGCAAAATCTCATTTGAATTTAAAGCAGCCCTCATTAAAACGGGGCAATTTGGATCACAGCCTAAAACTGGCAGTTTCAAAGAGTTATAAAGAATAATTTGTGGGGTATTTTGAGCTGAAACTTCAGATACACCATCTCCACACATCAGAGGATTATTCTATATTTTATAACAAGGGGCATAATAGGTCGCCTTTAAAACACGTAACTTCCAGTTTGCTCCAGCTACAGTGCAAAGATTGGCATTTCACAAATGTCATAACTGGTTCAATGGTAACCAGAAGATGTGGTTATAAACACTGGACTAACAGAAACAAATACTGAGCAAACACTGGAGGACGACACTGAAGGACACACTATGAGATGGGATGTGCTGTGATGTTTTTCTTCAGTCAAAATCAACACAGATACACAGTATTCGACTAAATGACATGGCATGGCCGTAACAAATCAGCAAATCTGTACAGACCCTCCCTTACTGATGTGCATGGCTATAAAGATTGATGATTGGCTATTTAGACCGGAAGGCGGGATTTAGCTGTGGCGGCCATACTGAGCGTTGCACTTTCCCCCAATAATAGTAATGCCAGTGAAACTTCTTTGTATATCTATAGCACAGGTGTTAAATGCAGTTCCTGAAAGGCTGGCGTTTTGTCGATTTGTCCTACCATGTCAGATTGTCCTACCTCCTATTCAAAAACTAGGTAGCACATTTTACTGACGAAATATGCTACCCATCAGATTTTGCTATCAGTGTAAATTTTAATGTGGAGTAGCGTGATAAGAAGCTGTAATATCGCCCTAACCCACCTAATCCCTAACCCCAACCTCAGAACCATTCAAATAGAGTGTTGGTAGCATAATCTGATGGGTAGGCAAAAACGTCAGAAAACCGGAGCCCTGCAGAGTTTAGTTCCAACCCTGCTTCAAGTCACTTACCTGCAGGTTTCAAACAAGTCTGAAGGACTCAATTAGTTTGATAAGGTGTGTTTAATTAGGGTTGGAACTAAACTGTGCAGAGTTGCGGCGCTCCAGGAGCTAAATATGACACCTCTGATTTATAGTCTTTGGTAATATTTAAGGAATGGGTGCAATGATATTACGCAGCACCTGAAAATAGTCCCCAGCTGGGTAACAAGGTAACAGCACGTAATGACATTGCTCCTGCTGCAGCCATGGTATGGAAGCAAAGTTACTTGTCTCTTAGCCATATGAACCTAGCAATATTGTCCATGGAAACTTTATTTTCTATCGATTTTAGTACATGATGTAACTATAGAATAGTGAAGCTTAACATAAGAAAAGCATTGAATTTTTTTGTGAATTTTTTTAGCAAGATGCTAATGGTCTAATTCAATTTAACGAATTATGCTAAGCTAAGCTAAAAGTGATTCTGCCAGACCTGGAAATCAGCTGAATGGATTCAAAAATGTTAAAACTTAACTGTTTACCTCTAAGGTAGTTGTTAAATGAGTCTATTTCCAAAAATAGTGGAGTGTTCCTTTTCAGATGTAAAGATGCTAGCACATACAATTTTGTATTAAAGTCCTGTTTCAGCCTCTCTGGTTTCCTGTTTTATAGGGATCCCAGCAGTGTTTGTGTCTATATGGGTCAGTGCCAGGGTGTCTCTGGCAGACACACAGTAAGTCTACACACACTACAACAGATGGCACAAATACATGCGTTGCCAACATACATTTGTTTTTTCCTACATTTCTGTTTAACTTTTAACCCTTAATTTGACACTTCTTCAAATACTCATTGGGAAAACCCTGCATAAATGGTGTTGTTACAAGATTTTTAAACTGTTATGACTAAACTCCCTTGAGACCTTTGCTTATCTTCAGAACACAAATTAAGATATTTTACATAAAATCTGAGAGCTGAGGGCCCGTAGATAGAAACATTCCTGAGACAAAAGCAAACAAACAAACAAACAAAACAATCTTTAATCATTCCATGTGACTTCAGTGGTAAAATTATAATCCAAAACTCCAAGAACACTTTTGTGCACCACTTGTTTTTATAAATATGACTCTGATTGTCTGTATCTTCGGTCCCACATCAGGTCAGGGTGTATGATTATTATTCGCAATATGATGTATTGACATTAGTGTCAGAACATAACACACAAGTATTGTATTGCCCATAGTAAACGCACAACCTAATCTGATGCGTAATAAATTGGCAAATGAAGTAGTTTAAGGAGTGCTATACATTTAAAAAGGTCATATTTTGGTTTTGGGGGTCTCCTCCAACAGCCTGATATGCATGTAAGGTCGAAACACTTTCATTTTCTTATAATATGCATTTGTTTTTACTTAATTATTCCAGCGACTCCCATATGACTTGTTCAGCGATTTATTTGTTCCCAAAACCCTCCTTAGCGTGATACTAATCTGCGCTGATTGGACCGAAGACAGTCTGTTGCAATTGGTCGACAGCATTCAGCGCGAGACGGAGAGAAAGGCCCACCATGGCTTGTCAACAGTACAGAAGTAGTCAGAGTGCATAGTGTATGGGTGAGCACACCTGCCAACACTTCTGTTTTTCCCAGGAGTCTCCTGTATTTCAGACCCATCTGCTGCCAACCCCCGGTTTTGTTATTCTCCCATAAAATTTCAACCATCTCCCGGATTTTCAGGGACAAATGTTGGCAGGTATGTGTGTAGGAGTGCATTAAAGCAATGCAGTTAAACACCAGCATATTGCTCTATTCTTAACCATAAGTAAAAACTGTGACACACATTCAGTATTAATCCACACAGTGGCAAAAGCCAGACTATTCTGAAACTTGACCACCACACGTGTGTAGGAGCAGCTGATGGTGGCCATAGCACTGACAAACGGCAGTGGAACGCGAGCTCACAAACAAATTTAAATCCGAAAACAAAGCAGCATGTGTCGCGTTTTCAACGTGGCATTAGACGCGATTATGAATATAAAGAGTTAACCAGATACAGTACAAGCGGTTTAATTGCAGGTACTTGCACTTGTGAAATAGAGGAAGAAACTGGTCTATGAACTGTGTTCTGTAAAGTTCCTGTCAAGTTCTGCAAAGTCCCACACATTAACAGTCTTTTCTGATCCTTCCTGTAACAAACGGCTAACAAATCTTCCATTGTAAGCATGTAGATTTTAGAAGCACTCATCAGAAAAATGACGGGGACACAGCACAAGGCTGGGGCTATAATGCTGATTTTTGCAAAAATAAACCTCAAGCACTGACTCTTCACAGCCTCATCTTTGGGAAGGGAAAATAACTTATTTTCCCTCACACTTCCAATAATATCCAGCTGAGCACAACATCTTTGCAACGATTCAACTGGCATTGGCTACAGTGTTTTTTCTTTGCTACTGTCTTTGTGGGCGGGGCCGGGGGGGTTGAATTTCCCCGGGTTTGCACGCGCAACAAATGAGCGGTGCTTTAGTTCTGTATCCACGTCACGCCGTAGTGGCTAAAGACTCGTTATTAAGACAATTCATTTGAAACACGATGAGTTCACTCTTTAGCAGATGACTCAATGGTTTTAAACGCAGCACACTTTCAGATTTAAGCGTTAGCTGGATATTTCACTTCACTTAGAGCTGTTACACACTACATGAAAGGTCATTTTCAAAAACCCATAATAGGGGCTCTTTAACAGTTTTTTGGTGCACAAAGTGTTTTTGGAGCTTCGTATGATTACAGTTGAACCACCGAAGTCAAATGGAAGGATTAAACAATCTTTTTAATTCCTTTTGCGGACTTTAATGGTCAGGTCATTTAATCTAAAAAACCTTCATTTGCGTTCAGAAGATGAACTAAGGTCTCAAGCAGTGGTGGAAAGAGTACAAAAAAAGCATACTTAAGTAAAACTACCATTACTTGCCTAAAATGTAGTGTGAGTAGAGTAAAAGTACCTGTTGTAAATATTACTCAAAGTAGGAGTAAAAAGTAGCCCTTTTAAAAAGTACTCATGAGTAGTGAGTATTATGCTGTTAAAAGCTGATGCATTTACATGTAATTTGTGTATGTGTGTAAACGTAACATTCTGTAGTGCATTTAGTTATTGCCCAGCATGCACACAATGTCATAAGATATTAAAATTAGGTTAGATTTAGGTTGTGATGTCAGGTGACCAAAATTGAATGTCTAGCCCGCGTCTAAGGACAACATTTTTGTTGATGTCCAATAATGACATCAAATGATGTTGATATTTAGTTGTTTTAGGTTGTTAGAAAGTCACCAGAATTCAATGTTAAGCTAACATCTTAAACCAACATCCTATTGATGTCAAACACTGACAATTATTCATCAGTTAAAGCAACCAAAATTCAATGTCTGATAGATGTCATAGTGCTAACGTCGACAAAACGTCAAGCTGTAACATCATTAGACGTTGATATTTGGTTGGTTTTAGGTTGGACATTGGACATTGACATCGGGCTGACTCTACTTTATGAGCCCACATAGGGCTCATCAAACCACAAAATTGTCTTCCAAAAGGTTTAGGTTTTGTGTCATGGTTTTTAACAAACTTCAGACATGAGGTAATGTCAGTCCTTCTAAAAATGTCTATTGCTGTATACAAAGCAAGAACAAATAACACCAAACTAAAATTATGTTACATTATAAAATTAAAATAATTAAAGTATTAAAAACATGAATTCTACAATCCTGAAAAAAACAACAACACAAAATGTATTTCTTGAAAATAACAATTATAAATATTTTCTGAAGGATTAAAGGCTGGATTTCTGAATCTCCAGGTGCTGGGATATCAGCGCAGGCAATCTAAAATGGATCTATCAAGTACCAATCCTGGCAGCCATTGTTGTGAGTTTTTGACTTATAATTAAAATTATGATAATTGCAGTAATTATTGTAAAAAATTGTAAATTAGAAGTTTTTTTGGGGGGGGATTTTGTGATTCTTGCTTTAATTTTCCCCACTTATTTCTGCTTTCAAATTGCTTTATGGGAAGTTGATCTTTTGTCCAACAACTATATATATATATTATCAGTGTAATGATATATGCAATAACAAAAAGCTGTATATCATACAGTGGAATAAATATACTGTATTTCAGAAATACTACATATTTTCTATTAGTAAAAACTCTACTGAAAAGACTTATGTTCCTCAAAACTTTTCATCTAGGTAAACTTCTTCCTCTTCCTCAATATCATCAGGGTTTTGGCCTCTAAGTTGTGGGAAACAAACACGGGAAAACTGGACCCTAGACAGCAGTACAGGTTATAAATGACTACACACACACACACACACACACACACACACACACACACACACACACACACACACACACACACACACACACACACAGTTTATAAGGACTCTCCATTTGTTTCATGTATTTTATTCTCTAAATTAATTACTTATACACTCCATGGTCACTTTATTAGGTACAGCTGTGCAACTGCTCGTTACCGCAAATTTCTGATCAGCCAATCACATGGCAGCAACTTAATGCATTTAGGCATGTAGACATAGTCAAGACGATCTGCTGCTGTTCAAACCGAGCACCAGAATGGGGAAATGTGATTTAAGTGACTTTGAACGTGGCATGGTTGTTGGTGCCAGACAAGCTGGTCTGAGTGTTTTAGAAACTGCATCTACTGGGATTTTCACACATAACCATCTCTAGAGTTTACAAAGAATGATGCGATAAAGAGAAGATATCCAGTGAGCGGCAGTTCAGTGGGAGCAAATGCCTTGTGGATGCCAGAGGTCAGAGGAGAATGGCCAGACTGGTTCAGGCTGATAAAGGCAACAGTAACTCAAATAACCACTCGCTGCAATTGAGGTATGAGGTACAAGAGCTATGAATGAACGCATAGCATGTCCAACCTTGAAGCGGATGGGCTACAGCAGCAGCAGACTACACTGGGTGCCACTCCTGTCAGCTAAGAACAGGAAACTAAGGCTACAATTTGCACAGGCTCACCAAAATTGGGCTATAGAAGATTGGAAAAACGTTGCCTGGTCTGAGGAGGTAAGATTTCTGCTGCAATATTTGCATGGTAGGGTCAGAATTTAGCATCAGCAACATGAAAGCATGGATCAATCCTGACCTGAGTAAACGGTTCAGGCTGAGGTGTTGGTGTAATGAAGTAGGGGATATTTTCTTGGCACACTTTAGGCCCATTACTACCAATTGACCATTGTGTCAATGCCACAGCCTACCTGAGTATTGCTGCTGACCATGTCCATCCCCTTATGACCACAGTGTACCCATCTTATGATGGCTACTTCCAGCAGGATAACGCACCATGTCATAAAGTGAGAATCATCTCAGACTGGTTTCTTGAACATGACAATAAGTTCACTGTACTCAAATGGCCTCCACAACCACCAGATTTTAATCCAATAGAGAGCAGAGCACCATTGGTATATGGTAGAGTTGAAGATTCGCATTATGGATGTGCAGCAATTTAATGTGCAGTAACTGTGTGATGCTAATATGTCAATATGGACCAAAATCTCTGAGTAATATTTTAAGTACCTTGTTGAATCTATGCCACGAAAGATTAAAGCAGTTCTGAAGGCAAAAGTGGGTACAACAAAGAACAACTAAGGTGTACCTATTAAAGTGACTGGTGAGTATATATTATACTTGTAATTAAATGGCTTACCCCAAGCCCTAACCACATTCCAAAATCCCAATCCTCAGAGAAAACCTTTAGCAATTTTCAATGTAAAAAGACCCCATTATGTATCATTTTTAAGCATTTTGAATGACAAGAACATGGACAATGTCTTTATAAATCACACCAACATTGTAATATCCACAGTCATAAACATGTCATTATACTCATTTGTCAACACTGTAAACCACCAAAACCAGTACACGCACATACACTGGGAGTTTGTGACTGGTATTGCCTTTTTTGTGGCCTATAGGAAGCTGCTGAAGTCAACAATGGTGCTGATGCCACTGTTTGGAGTTCATTACATGCTGTTCATGGCTCTTCCGTACACTGATGTGACTGGTTTGCTGTGGCAGATTCAGATGCATTACGAGATGCTCTTCAATTCTTCACAGGTATCCATTTATGCATTTTAATTCAGACTTCTCAATATATAAATTTTCGCAGTATGTCTGATAATATTTTTCCTTCTGGAGAAAGTCTTATTTGTTTTATTTCGACTAGAGTAAAAGCAGTTTTTTTATTTTTTAAACACCCTCTTAAGTACAAAATTATTAGCCCCTTTAGGCAATTTTTTTTCGATAGTCTACAGAACAAACTATCATTATACAATAACTTGCCTAATTACTCTAACTTGCCTAGTTAACCTAATTAACCTAGATATGCCTTTAAATGTCTCTTTAAGCTGTATAGAAGTGTCTTAAAAAATATCTAGTCAAATATGGTTAGCGGTCATTATGGCAAAGATAAAATAATCAGTTATTAGAAATGAGTTATTAAAACTATTATGTTTAGAAATGTGTTGAAAAAATTTGCTCTCCGTTATACAGAAATTGGGGAAAAAAATAAACAGGGTGCTAATAGTTCAGGGGGGCTAATAATTCTGACTTCAACTGTATATATATACATATGTACGTATGTGTGTATGTTTGTATAGTTTAGATAAAACCTAACTCCACCAAGTCTTATAGTAAAAATATAATTTTTTAAACACAATTCTGAACTCCAAACATATAACAATGGACCATTTTAAAACATAATATATTATCATGGTTTTGTTATTGTCCTGAAAAATTGTGCGATTTTCATTTTGACAGGGTTTCTTTGTGGCGTTTATTTACTGCTTCTGCAATGGGGAGGTAAGTATTTAACAACTTTAAATCTATACGTGTGTGATAACAATGAATGTAACGTCAATGCATTACGTCATTGCATCTATAGCGTAAGTATCTGTATAGAGGTTATGCATTGATGTTTAGATGTTGCATTCCCATGTGAACATGCCAGAACAAAATTGGTGAAAAATACCAGGACCAAAATTACACTGCCAACAAGCCTGTGATGGTCCTTAATGGGCCCACTTAGGGCTAGTCTAATGACCCCCAGCGGACTGCAAGCGCAGGGCCTTTGAGAGTTTGCTCACAAGCAAAACTTTGGACATTAAAGGGCTGGTCCCACATGGGCAACCCTCAGCTAGCCCCCCAAGAAGCCCCACTAGGTCCAAACTACAACAAAACATCTGTTTCAGATTAAAAACTTTTCAGTTCAGCCATTATACATCTGGATTCCTTCATGTCGTTCCCGCCTCTGTCACTTTATTCAAGAAACTTTTAATCGGTATGCAATGTTTAGCCTCAACAGCAGGTAAACAAGTTTAAAATAGGTCAGATTTTAGACGTGAGAAAGGTTTGTAAATGTTAAAATAATGACACAAAGGTAACTGTAGGAAAGGTGTATTCACAAGCATTCAATTGGGTTTTAAAACGACCCATTAAAACAATATTTATATGAGAGATTTGGGAGGGGTGTACTCATATATGTTGTACACATACAATCGATAGCTCTCGAGAGTTCCTGTTGAAACTGTTAGCACAACTACACAACAGCTTTCCCCTTAAGATTTTCTGTTGTTCATCATGAACAGGTGCAGGCAGAGGTGAAGAAGGCCTGGTTGCGACGCAGTCTTGCGTTAGACCTGAAGCAGAAGGCTCGAGTCCACAGCAGTGCGGGATGTGGAAGTGGTTACTATGGAGGAATGATGTCCCACACCACCACACAGAGCGTGTGTCTCAGTGTCAGTGGTGCTAAAGGCGGTCATTCTCTGCACACCATAGGAGCCAAAGGACAATCCCGTCTACAACATTCAGGAAACTTACCCGGCTACGCGCCTCAGGACACAGAGACTTTGTTTTACCCAGTGGTCCCAAAGCAGAAAGAGACTCCATGCAGACAGAGCAGCAGGAATGCAGAGGAAAGCGAGCATGATTTTGAGCCATATTTCGTAGCGGATGAGGAACATTCTGGATCCATGTCTTGGAAAGAACTAGAAACGATGCTTTGATGTAACTTGCTGGATATTATAAGTGGTGCTTGCTATTGTCAGAAGTTCTAAGTTATAAAAGCTTGTTTTTTTTGCCACAGAATACAAAACATTACAATAATAATTGTAGCTTTTTATCTCACATTTCTGAGTTTCTTTCTTGCAGTTGTGAGTTTATATCTTGATATTTGAAATTCTTAAAACTGTTTAAATCTTGCAAATGAACATCTCACAGCTTTGAGAAAAAAAGCAACAAGTAAACACGGTAATATTTTCTCATAATTGTGTTTATTTTAGCAAAATTCAGAGTTTTTTTTTATTAGTTGTGAAAAATATCATAATTGTTAGAGATAAACTCAGATTATTCTTTTATCTCAGTCCTTTTTTTAATTCTGTGGCAGAATCAGGCTTCCATATTAAGTGTTAAACTAGTAGTTCATTCAACAATATTTGTGGCATAATGTTGGTTATCAAGAATATAAATGAGTGAATGGGTCCATTCTGTATTCAACTACTTACTGGTGTTGACAGAATAGCCAAACATTGTAAATAATAAGTGTTTACATGTTTTCTGTGTAAAGTTATATAAAACTTTGTAACGATCACTGCAAAAGATGGGTTTTAAACAGATTTACAGCTCAAAATATATTTTAACATATTAAAGAATATGAAAAAATATTTAAGATTTGCTTTTCTAAAATACAAATGTATAAAATAAGATAATTTGTAGATAATATAAATGTAAAAAATATTTAAATCAGAAGTTTGCTCTCTGTTCACTTCTAATGTGAGTGTCTCACCACACTGTAAAACCAAATAGTTAAGGTAACTCAAACCATTTAAGGAAACTGATTGCAACAAACCATTTAGTTCAAAAACTAGTCCAAATGAGTACTGTAAACTTAATCTATTTGAGTACATAAAGCAACCTGAGCACAGAAAAACTAAAAAAATAAAGAAAACTCAAACAAACGGAGTACTGTAAAACCCAAAAAGTTAACGCAACTCAAACCGTTTAAGGAAACTGATTGCAACAAACTAATCTAAATGAGTACTGTGAACTTACTAAATTTGAGTAAAAGAAGTAATGGAGGACAGTAAACCCAATAAATGAACAGAACTCAAATCAACTCAGTACTGTAAAACCCAATAAGTTAAGTCAACTCAAACCATTTGAGGAAAACTATTGCAACAAACCATTTGAGCTAAAAAAAATAAAAAAAAAATCTGTGAATTAGAGCTGCACAATTAAAAGAAAAAAAATCGCCATCTCGATTTGATCGCCTAGACGATCTTAATCCAGCATTTCTATGATTCTGTCAATTATATTTTCAAGTTCAGGGGAGAAAAAAAGGCAGCTGTACAAGTCTTCACATTGTTTTACATACGTTGTTCAGTAACGTGGACACCAATGGTGTTAAAATGAGTTTGACTAAGCAGTCAAAACGAAACCAAAAGCTTGCACAACATTTAAATAAGCATATGGCATTATAGAGTTATGACTAGGCTATACGACAAGCATTATATGCAAAGACGAGAATATATATATATATATATATATATATATATATATATATATATATATATATATATATATATATATATATATATATATATTATTTTACATCTACAGAATTGTAAGAAAATCGTGATCTTTATTTTATGCAAAAAAATCTAAATCTAAAAAAATCGATTCAGAAAACTCAAATCATCTGAGTACTGTAAAACCCAATAAGTTAAGGCAACTCAAACCATTTGAGGAAAACTATTGCAACAAACCATTTGAGTAAAAAAAAAAACTAATCTATATGAGTACTGTAAACTTGCTCCACTTAAGTTGAAGTAATAAAGTTTTTAATTACCTCATGACCTTCAACACTGAGTTCAAAACTTTTTTCAAATGAGTAGAATTAACTTTCAGTAAATTTTGAGTTAACTACACATTTATTTCATTTGATAAAGTTGACTGTTGGGTACAGTGCATAATCTCAAACAAGCAATGAGTCTGCATTATTATTTTTATACCACAAATGATCTTTATACCACAAATACTGTTTTTACATGCTGGATAATTAAACTGAATGAATAAAAAAATTAATAATGTTATAGATTTAAATCCTAGAATCTAGACCTGGGCCAATAAGCAACCATCTAGCAATGGTCTGACTTTTCTAAAATAAACTCTTAACGGCAGAGCAACAAAATATAAAGCTGTAAACTCAAAATCCTTTTAAAAGTGCAAGCACTATGTTCTTGAGCAAATGTTGAGTTTTGAATATTGTGATTATGTATGTCTAAAGCTTTAATGTAAGTACATTTCTGTCAAGAGTACTGTGCATACAATAGGCATTTATCCTTAATCTAATTCATTAGTACAGTGTACCATTCAGTTTATTCCACAGCTAACCCCATTTAAACCATGTTCATACTTTTAAAATAAATTGACATTTTTCACAATTCACCAATTTCTGTTATTGCTAATCATTTGTGATAAATGCATTTTGAAAAATATGACTGATTTAAGGGGATCATAAGCTGCTCTTTTAAATCTGATTATGTTTTCTATTGGAACAAACATTTTCTCTTTCTCCTACAGTCTTTCTTCTACTGTGAACCTATACATCTCACATTCTTTCAGCGCTCTGCCCCAGATGCCCTCTCATTGCAGTCAGGAATTTCACAGCAGACCTTCAAGTCTCTTTCAAAACCTAGACCAAAACAAAGAGTCTTGGAATGCCCCACAAATATGCATTGTCTGTTACACTTTGGGTATCATGATTCCGTAGTACACGTCCAGTAAACAATTACTGACATCTATTTATATTTACAATTACAACCGCAGGTCCTGCAAGCAACTTGAATGATGCTAGCAAGAGGGTCTCTGGTGGATACATCAGTGACTAAATCCTAATCAATTATTAGTAAACGTGGGCTATATGCTTAAAGTCATTAAGGTGTTCTATAAAGAAAATCTGGGTATACCTAGGCATAGTCGAATAATAAGAAATCAGTATATTGAAATGACGGCAACACAATGGTTTAGTGGCTAGCACTGTCACCTCACAGCAAGAAGTGTGGTGAACTAATCTGAAAAGAAAATGAATGAATCAATGCATATATACAGTATTAGGCCTACACAATTCTAATATTTTTGGCTCAATACACCAACACAATGGACTTGAAATGAAATGAACAAGATGTGCTTAAACTGCAGACTGTCAGCTTAAATTTGAGAGTATTTGCAAATCAGGTGAACGATGTAGGAATTACAACTGTTTGAATATGTGCCTCCCACTTGTTAAGGATCCAAAAGTAATGGGACAATAGTCTTCTCAGCTGTTCCATGGCCAGGTGTGTGTTATTTCCTCATTATCCCAATTACAATGAGCAGATAAAGATCCAGAGTTAATTTCAATTGTGCTTTTTGCATTTGGAATCTGCTACTGTCAACTCTCAAGATGAGATCCAAAGAGCTGTCACTATCAGTCAAGCAGGCCATCATTAGGCTGAAAAAATCAAAACAAACCCATCAGAGAGATAGCAAAAACATTAGGCATGGCCAAAACAACTGATAGGAACATTCCTAAAAAGAAAGAGTGCACCAGTAAGCTCAGCAACACCTAAAGACCTGGAAGTCCACGGAAAACAACTGTGGTGGATAACTGAAGAATTCTTTCCCTGGTGAAGAAAACACCCTTTACAACAGTTGGACAGATCAAGAACACTCTCCAGGAGGTAGGTGTATGTGTGTCGAAGTCAACAATTGAGAGAAGACTTCACCAGAGTGAATACAGAGGGTTCGCAGCAAGATGTAAACCATTGGTTCGCCTCAAAAACAGGAAGGGCAGATTAGAGTTCTAAAAAAGCCTTCTTAGTGCTGGAACAACATCGTGTGGACAGATGAGATCAAGATCAACTTGTACCAGAGTGATGGGCAGAGATAAGTAGAGAAGAGTCGCTGGGGCACTTCAGATCATTTTGGAAGGGCACTTTCTATCCAAGACTAAAAAGGGCATGTGCACTGCACAGGTTGAGCCCTATGTGTGCACGTGCCTGCAAGGTAATACCTGGTGATTTGTTTTTATATTATTATAACATTAATTATCAATGAACTGTAGGTTCACTGAATGAGTGTGATTACATTTATTTATGTAATTTTTGGGCTTATCGTTCAGTGTTACCATTTCAGACATCTTCACTCTTCATTAAAACCTGATGCCTTATTGAGTGAAATCATTCACTTTGCAGTTATACTTACTTACTTAATTTTGCCCTCTACCCCTTCCGGGGCATGGGCCACCAAAGGTAGATCTCCAGAGGTTCCTGTCCTGGGCCATTCTTTCTACTTGTCCCCAGGTGTAACCCATCCTTGTGATGTCTGCGTCGAGGTCGCATCGCCAGGTGTTTCTTGGACGGCCTCTCTCCCGCTTCCCTTAGGGGTTCCATCTGAGAGCCTGTCTGGTGATGCTAGTTGGTGGTTTGCGAAGGGTGTGCCCTATTCAACCCCATCTTCGCTTCCAGGTCCGCTTGACAGGTCCTTCTCCATAGGTCGGTGTTACTGATCGTGTCAGGCCAGCGAATGTGCAGAATCTTTCTGAGACAGGTGTTGATGAATGTTTGGATCTTTCGGGTGGAAGCTTTGGTTATCCTCCAGGTCTCTGCCCCGTACAACAATACTGATTTCACATTAGAGTTAAACAGGCGGATCTTCGTGGTCATGGTAAGTTCTCTCGAAGCTCAAATGTTCTTAAGCTGGATGAAAGCAGCTCTTGCTTTGCCAATCCTTGCTTTAATGTCTTTATCAGTTCCACCCTGCTGGTCGATGATGCTGCCAAGGTAGGCAGTTATAGTGTTGCTATTTTGATTCATATGTCTGTTTTTGTAAATCATAGAATAAATAAGACTTTCTTTGGCATTTAGCCTTTCTGTCCTCAGTTGTTCAGTGATGTAATGGCTAAAATAAAATCATAAAAAGATGTTTGTGTATTTTAAGTTAATTACACATTACATATTGGCAATAATAAGAATTTGTTAAATGTTTAAGTAACTATATTAAACGTCATTCAGTTATCTTCTGTAATAACATATTGGCAGATGCTATGTTTTGCTGAATTAAACAAAGTTTACTGGCCATTAAAAGTAGGTTTGAACATTTACAGTATATTTTACTGAAAGCAGTAAAGACAAAGAAACTGCTGTCTTTGGGTATAAAATAGGTTTTATTCTTAAACAGAATACATTTTAAAAATATTTCTTATTCATTTGTTTCTATTCCTGTTCTCATATCAAAGCATATTATGTTAGTTTACCTCATCCTCTAGAAACTTTACTTGTGTCTACTGTAAACTAGCTAGTGTGTGCGTCTTCAGCTCCTCTAGCTTCACACAGAGCCTCAACGAGGCAGCAGAGGAAGTTCAGGATCTGCTCTCCTCAGTTCCTCTGCTACTCCTGCTCTCCCTCTACAAATAATTGACAGTGTTTATCTACACTCATCAAGACAATGCAACTCAAGCCATGACTGCTGGATTCAGGTAAGTGTGATGTCACTAGCCACCTGTGCAGTGCAACCAGGCATGGCGCTCAATGTCATCTAAAGTGGGCCGATCAGCTGGCGATGCACTGAGACACCAGCCAATCAGCTGACGGCACTCTGAACACACAACACCGTCTTCAGAAACCCACAACAACACACTTCTCCTCGCTAATACACCGTCTCCATCTGTGTTTCTGAATCTCTTACCTGTTGACAGATTTCTAGTAAAGTGCAGTGTGCTTCTGGACTTGACCCTCTGTGCGCCTCTGAAGGGGAAACGGTCACACAGGATGTTGTAGAGGGTCACTCCTACTGACCACACTGTAGCTGGAGTGGCATTATAGCGCTGTCTGCTAAACCACTCAGGAGGAGCGTATGCAGGAGTGCCTGAGAGACACAAGAAGACCACAAACACACTCAAAATGCTCATCACAAGTTCACAAACATCCACAGAATGCTTTCGTTTGAAACTCAAACCCACCTGCAAAGTATTTGTAGGCCGAACGCTTCAGCAGATCTCCACAGCCGAAGTCCAGCAGCTTGATGTCCTGGCAATCTGTGGAGATCAGCAGGTTCTCTGGTTTGACGTCCCGGTGCAGGACGCCGCGGCTCTCGCAGTGTTTCAACGCCGCGATCAACTGCACCAGCACTTTTTTGGCTAGACGCTCGTCCAGACAGCCGTTCTCCTCACAGAAACTCTGGAGATCTTGGCATGGAGCCGGACGCTCCAGGATCAGGACGTAGCGTCTGGGACGGTCAAACCAGTCCAGCAGCTGCAGGACACTGGGGCAAGCAGGAGCTGAAGTGACGCGGGTCATCAAGGCCACCTCTAGCGGCAGCTGACCCTGACCTTCCTGCAGGACGAACAACTCCATTACATCCAGCACTGAATCAAGCACAACAGATTCACACGGGGACTTACAACTTTCAGTCTCCTCTGCGTCCGGTCCTTACACACGTACTTGATGGCCACCTGCAGATAGTAAAAGCACAGTAAATCACACCTGCCTCATTTAACATTTACTGACAGCAACATTTCTGAATGAAGGAGGGAGGAAAACGTCTTACTGGCAGTCCATCAGACCTGCGGATCCCAGCAAACACTGAGCCGAATCCACCGCGTCCCAGCAAGGGGCCCTTCATATACAAGTCTGCAACACAGAGGAGCACAAGAATTGCTGCAGGGTCTTTGATGACAAATCATTTCAGATTTGTTATAACAAGAAGAGTCATAACAAGAAGATGAGTGTGTGCTGACCTCTGCGAGAGCGCTTGGCCGGTCTCCTGGACGAGGTGGACTGCATTTGCTGGCTGTCGCTCTGCCACTTCCTCTTCTTATTTCTCTGGTCGGTGGAGACAGACTCAGCCAACTGGGAAGGCAGAGGAGCCAAATGACTAGGAAGCTCAGCGGTGCCATCATGTGTGCCTATGTCCAGAGCTGCTGTCTGAGTGAAAGCAGCACTCCTGGATCTGGAGCGGCCTGAGGCTAAAAGACAAATCACACACAGCAAACACTCAACAGTGAAACTGTTTAAGCAATGAGATGTGTTTTAGTCAGATTCTAAAAGATTTGGATTTTTTTTTTGTTGTTGTTTAATATTAGTTTTATAATGAAGAGGCATTTATTTTAATAAAGTAGAATGAATACATTTGATCAGTTTACAGCAAATAAATTAAGATTAAGTGAATTAACTTGGACATAGTTTTTACATTTAGTGAAACGTTGTAGAACATAGCATGCCAATAATAAAGAAAATGAAAGATTTTAAATACTCACCTCGTCTTTCACCCATCTCCGCCATGAACAGCCTCAAACTCCAACTTAAAGAAAAATAAACAAAAAGAAATAAATATTTAAATAAAATAAATGAATAAATAATAAAATGGAAAATAAAAAGAGCACAAATTAAACCATAAAAATACAAAAGCACAACAAAAGAACTGTCCTGAGAAATAATCTGGACTTTTTTTTCGAAAAAAGAGAGAAACTATTCAAAGATAAAATCCTCCGATCTCCTTCTGCAATAAAAGTCTCCTGTCAGAAATCCTCCGGGCTCTTGAATATTCGCAGTATTGCACAGAAATCCTCTCCAAAAGTCTCTGAGTTCGCCTCGTCTCTCAACCAACAGCGTGAGATGGTTTCGCGTGTTTATATATCGAGTCAAATGTCAAATTATAACACGCGTTGCTATGGCAACTTAATTTCAAACACCGCTAATTTAGATACCTGTCCTCGCATGTAACGTAAGCATAATAAATAACATACGCATTAATATATTTTAATAGTTTTACATTAAAATACATATAAAAAATTATTCTTGGAGTAATTACTTAATTTTATTTTATGGCCTAAAAATCAGTGTCAATCGCAGACATGCGCAATCAATAGGTTGTTTGCAGTCACGTGGTACTAATGACACGAGATGGCGCTCAGGAAGTAACGTTATAAAACTGAAAGGTAACTTCTTATTCCTGGGAAACCTTTTTTTATCGATTGTTGGTTTGAAAGAGTTTTTGTCTGGGACTTATTTAAAAATGATGTCAATATTCTGGAATATGGAGAATTTATGACATTTTATAATTTTCCTCTGCCAGCCAAATCCTTCAATTGTGTTATAAAGAGCTTGTCACCAGGTTATGTGCATTCATTTAAAATGTTTCTTTACTTTAATGAGAGGAAAACAATTATGCCTAAACTTTATTTTGGATGGAGTGTCTTTTTTTATAATAAATGTGACAACACAGACATGTCAGACGATTGTTACATTACTACACCTCCCTTTCTGGACCAATTTTTCTGACAGCGTTCAAAGGAAGAGAGCGTGGTTATTACCTGAAAAGTTCATCATATCCAACAAAATAAGAGTGATACATTGTAAGATGTTGCATAATGTATATCCTACAAACTCCCAAATTGCTAATTATTTTGATATATCTTATTTATGTACTTTCTGCAATATACATGAAGTTGCATTCACGTTAAACTACTTTGGAACAACATTTTTAAAATTTATTTATCATCCTTATTTAAATAGGATTTAAATGTGTCTATAAAAGATATATTTCTGTATTTCTCCGGTAATGATCATGCTCTTGATCTTATTGTTAATTTTTTGTGTAATACTGTAATTTTTTATACACAAAAATAAGTTCCCAAAGACAATACCTAGATTTAATACTTTTCTTGCTGAAATTTCATTCAATATTGAATCTCTTAAGCTTATTAATAATAATAATAATAATAAGAAGAATATGTTTACTAAAGCTTATGATAGTTTTTTCTTAATGATTGAGGCTTTGTTAAGTTTTTTTCTTTTCTTTTTTCTTTTTCTTCTTTCCTAATTTTTTGTTATTGTATTTTCACTTCAATGCAGTGATGCTATTTTTATTCATTCATTCATTTTCTTGTCGGCTTAGTCCCTTTATTAATCCGGGGTCGCCACAGCAGAATGAACCGCCAACTTATCCAGCAAGTTTTTACGCAGCGGATGCCCTTCCAGCCGCAACCCATCTCTGGGAAACATCCACACACACATTCACACAAACACTCATACACTACGGACAATTTAGCCTATCCAATTCATCTGTACCGCATGTCTTTGGAATGTGGGGAAATCGGAGCACCCGGAGGAAACCCACACGAAGGCAGGGAGAACATGCAAACTCCACACAGAAACGCCAACTGAGCCGAGGTTCGACTATATTTATTATATTCAATAAAAAGTTATTTTAAAAAGCTGAAAGAGGGGTTGAAGTGGATAGAGAAATACTCTTGTGATTTTTGTGGTATTGTTTAAGAACCTGCTACTCATCTGTTTTTTCAATGTGTACACTCAAGATTATTTTAGATTGATGTTTCTAACTGTTTCAACGACATTTGGTACACTAATACAAACTGGATTGTATGATGTCATATTTGCTTTAGTACAAAATAGAATTGATTCAAAAAGTACAGCTTATTTTCTTATACAGCTATTAATATAACTTGGAAAATACCATGTTCATGTCAAGAAATGGGCCAAAGCTAAGCCAAATTGTGAACATTTTATAAAGGAGATTAAACAATATGGTACTACACTATGTAACATTAGAAACAGAAAAGCTAAAAAACATATGTAAATTTAATTTGATTAAATAAATGTTTTTATTATTATTATCTTATCCATTTATTTATTGTACCCCTGGCATCTGTTTATTTTTTTGTTTGTAAAACTAATATAACTTCTCCCATTTTTATTTTGCTCCTAATTGTTGTGAGATGTATATTATTGTACTAATTTTGTACATTTTTACAGTAAAAAAGCTAAAAGGGAGACATGTCAGAGGAGTGCCCACGTTTGATGTATATTGATAAATATGGTATTATTTTACAGAAAACCCTCCCAATTTTACTATACATATATAGGATATTGCATTTTTTTCTTCATTGCATTTTAAGGTTTTATTTGACTTATTTACGATCTGTTTAGTCCATGTTCTTTCTAAAGGTTTTATTTTATTCCACTAGGTGGCAGTAAAGTTTTTTTTTAGTTTTGAACAAAATAAGTTTTTATGTTTTATAAAAAGCACAAGGACATATTATTATCATTGTCATTATTGTTAGGTATATATTTAAATGTTAACTTAAAATTACTGTCAGTTTTAGCAATTACCATAAATCATGTTTTGTTTTGTTTACCTCGTTATTGCACTCTTTTAAGAGCACCTATTAGGGGAATTTGAAAATTATTGAAAAGTGAAAGAAAACATCCAGCTGAGGTTTAAATCTGAAAGTGCACCAGGTTTAAAACTATTGATTCCTAAAGGAAAGAGTCGAATGAATGATTTATTTATTTATTTATTTTCGGATCTTTTGCCTGCTCGTATCGATGTGGATATGAGACATCGCCAAGTATGAAGAGCCAGATCTGGTAAAATGTGAGTGCGCCCTTCCCTTTAAACTTTGAAGCGCAGGGGATCATAGGATTGATAATGACGTGAAGATTACTATCACTAGCTATGTTTCCATCCACCTATTTTATGTGCATTTTGGATATGCACATGAAATAATGATTGATGGAAACATCGAGATGCGCTTAACTTTTTAAAATGTGCATAAAAGGCTCTGCACATAACTGAGTAGGATAAAGTTTTTATTCTATATGAAAAAATGTGTATAAACTCCACTGGAAACTATTTTACCAAACAAATTCCAGCATGCACATTAAAAAAAGTGTGATTTTGTTTGTAATTCAAAGTGTTGACTTCTGTAATTCCCCTCCAATACAAGCCTAAGATTTTCACAAACAAATTCAAGTTTCTTCAGCTCGTGCATCCACTTGGTTTATGAAGGACCTCAACAATGGCAGGTGGAGTTTAGCAGCTGTTGAACATGTCCTCACACTACAGAGAAATGAAGGCTCTGACAACTGTCACTCAAAGCTGTTGCTATGGTAACTACTAATGTTTTTTGCTAAATCTGGGAATCATTAATGACTGGCATCACTGGACATTGACACCACAATTTATTAGTTGTGACTGCAATTATCTTTAAAAACTTTTATGTTGTTACACACACACACACACACACACACACACACACACACACACACACACACACACACACACACACACACAAAGATTGAAGCGCTGCTTTTGTTTCTATGAGTTGTGGGTAGATGTTTCATGTCTTTACTTTGTGAACATATAACATATTAACAATGGCATATTAAGGTCATTGCCCCACAAGAGAGGAGGGCTCTCTATCCGGACCCTTTGGGGGAGAGGAGAAAAATTCAAAGATGCTGGGATGTGACAAGGTAATTAGCTTTATTGGTGACATACTGTACATGAAATGGGCTCTTAATCCTCCAAGAATTCCTCCCTTTTTATTACTGCTCATTCATGACACAAGGGGGGCTTACATTTCATGAAGGTTGCGTGACACATCCCCTTTAAAAAGATGCCATTTCTTGTGGTGACTTTGTACTAAAGTGAGACGAATGTGAGCACACCTTAGAACAAGAAG